CAGCGTGGGGTGTCCTGGCTCAACATCCTCCACCTTCCCCGCATATCTGAAAACAAAACAAACAACAAACAAACAGACTAAGCTGGCACACTGGTATTGTTAACATAGATTTGGCATTAACGAGGCCCAGCTGTTGGCTGCTTTTCTCCCAGCAGTGTAACACTGGCCTAGGTGAACAAGGCAACCTAGACAATTGCCTATAGCTGGGGAAAGAATAGTGTCTTTATGTTGGCTTTTGCTTTAGTTGAGAAAATCCTGGTACTTGTAGGATGATTTTAAAAATATAAAATGGAAATAACATTGCCTTTTATGTAAAAACCTTTATTACACAAATAATATATGAGAACTAGTTAGAAAGCATGCAGTAACAGTAAGGAGAGCACCCCCCCCCGCCCCATCCACAAAGAAGTTCTGTCAACATGTGCAGCATCTCCAGGCAGACTTTCATATGAATATTTTATTACTGGGGGGAAAATGGCACTTTACTGCATCTACTGTTCGGCAGCTTTTTGTTTTCATCTAACAACACTGCAATTACATTTGCAAGTCAATAAACACTCTTTCCCAATACCTACTGCACTGACGGAGGGGTGTATTCATTTGCTTTTAATTTGGGGTGAATATAATCAAAATTGCAAAGAATACCCTCTTTTATTTGTTTATTTTAAATTTTTATTAATTTCTTTGAGACAGCTCCCATTCACTGATTCATTTCCCAATGCCCACAATGGGTGGGGCCAGGCTGAAGCCAAAGCTGGGAGCCAGGAACTCAGTCCTGACCTCCTACGTCACAGCTGCCTGCGAGGGTCTGTGCCAGCTGGAGTCAGGGCCTGGAGCTGGGCATCCAGGAGCTATACAGGAGACAAGACGCTGTAACCGGCATCTTAACCGCTAGGCCCAATTACCACTCTAACACTTTTTGTTAAAATATTTATTTTATTTTATTTTATTTTTTAAGATTTTATTTTTTTTTTATTATTTTTTCATTGGAAAGGCGGATATATAGAGAGGAGAGACAGAGAGGAAGATCTTCTGTCCGATGATTCACTCCCCAAGTGAGCGCAACGGGCCGATACTATGCCGATCCGAAGCCAGGAGCCTCTTCCGGGTCTCCCACGTGAGTGCAGGGTCCCAAAGCTTTGGGCCGTCCTCGACTGCTTTCCCAGGCCACAGGCAGGGAGCTGGAAGAGAAGCGGGGCTGCCGGGATTAGAACCAGCTCCCATATGGGATCCCGGGCGTGCAAGGCGAGGACCTTTAACCACTTGCGCCACCGTGCCGGGCCCTATTTTATTTTTGTTGGAAAGTCAGATATATAGAGAGACAGAGGGAGAGGAAGCTCTTCCGTCCACTAATTCACTTCCCAATTGGCTGCAACAGCCAGAGCTGCGCTGATCCAAAGCCAGGAGTCCGGAGCCTCTTCAGGGTCTCCCATGCAGGTATAGGGTCCCAAGGCTTTGGGTCATCCTCAACTGCTTTCCCAGGCCACAAGTAGGGAGCTGAATGGGAAGCAAGGCTGCCGAGATTAGAACTGGCGCACAAATGTGATCGTGAAGCGTGCAAGGGGAGGACTTTAACCACTAGGCTACCATGCCGGGCTCTTCAACACTCTTTAAAAAAAATTTCTTTTTGAAAGGCAGTTTGATGGGAGGAGATAGGGGAGAGAGCTTCCATTTGTTGGTCACTGCCCAGATAGCTATAATGTCTGAAATTGGCCTTGGAACTGGCAGGGTTGAATCCAGCAGCCAGCAGCTCTATCTGGGTCTGCTATGTGAGTTGGAGGGGCCCAAGTACTTGGGCCATCTTCCTCTTTTAGATGGGAAGTGCAGCAGCCAGAACTAGAGCCACCTGCTGTGCTACAATGCTATCCCCTATCCTCCACATTCTTATATTTTAAAGCTTGTTTAGTTGCTCAGTTAATTAACTCCCACTGAAAAAGATGGAAGGATAGTTAAATGAACCACAGTTCAACCCAGGAAGTAGGAAAATGGATTTGAGAGATAAATCCAGCCTCACCTATGCTACCTTATTCAGTCCTCTCAAATCAGAAACATACCACCACTGCCTATTTCATGCTTAAAAAAAAAAAAGGATTTTATCATTCTATTACTTAAAAGGCAGAAATAGAGAGAGAGAAAGAGAGATTGATCTTCCATTCACGGATTCGCTCCCCGAGCAACAATAATGGCCAGGACTGGGCCAGGCTGAAGCCTGGACTGTCACCTGTGTCTCTCCAGTGGGTGGCAGGGCATTCAGCACTTGGGTCACACCTGGAGCCTTCCGGGCACATTAGCTGGGAGCTGACTCAAAAGCAGCCGCTGGACGCTGTGAAGTGGGATGCTCACATAGTGAGGCAATAGCTTAATGCGCTGTGTGAAACGCTGGCCTCACATGCTTTCCAAAATGTAAAGTACTGAAGATGATGTGGTGATGTAGCAGGTAACCCTCTGCCTGCAGCACTGACATTGTTTATGGGTTCAAGCCCCAGCTGTTCCACTTCTGATGGCCTGGGAAAGCAGCAGAGGATGACCCAAGTGTTTGGGTCCCTGTACCTACATGGGAGACTCAGAAGCTCCTGGCTGTCAGCTTCAGACTGGCTGTTGTGGCCATCTGGGGAGTGAACCAGCAGATGGAAGATCTCAATCTCTCTCTGTCTCTTCCTCTCTCTTTCAAGTAAAATAAATAAACCTTTCAAAAAGGGTACGAGGCCTAATACAATGGCCTAGTATAGTGGCTAAGTCCTCACTTTGAATGTGCTAGGATCCCATATGGGTGCCAGTTTGTGTCCCAGATGCTCCATTTCCCTTCCAGTTCCCTGCTTGTGGCCTGGGAAAGCAGTAGAGGATGGCCCAAATTGGGACCCTGTGCCCACTTAAGGATCCTTTCCTGGCCCGTGGCTTCAGATCAGCTCAACTCTGGCCTGTACTTAAATCAGAATATTTGAGGTTTTACTGAGAGACAGTGAGTCAGACAGACCTAGTGTGAAATGCCAGCTGCTCCCATTCCACATTAGTAAGTTACATGTTCTGTGAGATCTGGATTCCTACCTATATGACATGGGGGTAATTTATAGTTATGGGGATGAGATCACAATCAAGAAGCATCAGGGATGAGTTCCTCTGACTCCGCATTTGCTAATCAAGTTCAGGACCCTCACTCTTCCCGCCCTTGTCCACATCAGACATTGCTAAGCAAATATTCTTCCTCGCTGAGCCCTTGGTTGGCCTCAACGCCGCCCCCACCCTCATTATTCTGCATAGTCACATCAACTAACTTTGCTCAAAAGATAAAAAATCAGTTGACTTTCCCAGTGTTAATTCGCAGTTGAAGCTACCTAGAAACTTAGTACCTGTTAAATGAGGCCTTCCAAAAATGTTTTAACCTTTACAAAAATCTCAACAGCTCATGCAGATATGAGGGTGCCTCCCTCTCAGCTTGCATGCTATAAGGCTTGGATGGAAAATTCCATCTCCCTTCTGTCTTCCTACTCACTATATTCTTTACACACTTCCTCAAATGAACCAACCTCGTTTCCACCTCCGGGACCTTGCATTTGCTACTCTGTTTTCGTACTGATAACTTCAAAACAGGCTCTTCCAGGTCACAGGTAAACACCGTCTCCTCAAAGAGAGCTCCCCAGAAATCTTGTATGTCACCATGGCGGCCATCAGTGTCACTCCTCAGATGTTTCCAATGCTTCTCCCTTCTGGTATGTTTAGGCACGGCTGCACTTCTCTAGCCTCTGGGCGTCAATGAAATGTGAAGAGAAGTAATCACATCCCTTCTGGTCGAAGCATCGTGATGAGGAGCCGGCCTTTAGCCTAGCAGGAAGGATGGCTGTGTCTTCTGAGAAAGGACCTGGCTTCCACACCTGCTTCTGCCTTCCAACTTCAGCTTCCTAGTGATGCAGATCCCAGAAGACAGCTGTGATGCCTCAAGTAGCTGGGCTTCCTTCACCTACAGGAGAGACTTGAGTATCTGGCTCCCAGCTCCAAGCTGGCTACACTCGGCCACTGCAGGCTTTGCGGGCTGAGGCAGCCATGGTGATGAAATCGCTGCAGAAACACTGGTGGTGGTTGCATCACATTGTGAGTGCAATGAATGGCAGTAAATTGCACCTTATAAAACTGATACATCTTCCTTCTAATCCCCACCCCCACCAGGAAGCCACAGAAGATGGCACAAGTGCTGGGGAGTCTGCCACCTGTGCCGGAGACACACAGAAACTCTGGCTCTTGGCTCTGGCTCATGGCTGTTGCAGCCATGTGGGGAGTGAGCCAGTGGATGGAAAAGCTATCTCCTGCTCCCTGTCCTCTCTGAAATTTTGTCTTTCAAATAAACAAATCCGAAAAGAAAGAAAGAAAGAAAGAAAGAAAGAAAGAAAGAAAGAAAGATAGAGAGAGAGAAAGAAAGAAAGAAAGAAAGAAAGAAAGAAAGAAAGAAAGAAAGAAAGAAAGAAAGAAAGAAAGAAAGAAAGAAAATGTTGAGGGAAAGTGGACTAGAGGTAGACAGAAAGTGAAGGAACAATTACCTGATGAGTTCCCTGGAGCTCTGCCTGTCTGTAAAATGCCAAGAGAATACCTCCAGCCAAGGGTTGCTGTGAGAATCAACTTAGCTAATAGGTGTAAAAGTATGTAAATAGGAGAATTAACTTAGCTAAAAGAATCTAGATAAGTGGTATATATAACACACACATAAATGTGCGGTTTAGTTTATATATATATGTATATATATATGCCTCTTTTATGAAAGTAAATGGTAACTGGAACTAGAAAATGAGATGTCATCTATAATTCCACTGCTCGGGGTCAACCCTTGCTAACCAATGACCGTGTTTGGTCCGTCCCTAACTGCCTCACACTGGGCTCCTCACAGCTGCCCGCCCTAGGGTGGCTACAGTGGACCCTGCGCACCTGAAGCCCCGCCCCCGCCGCGCGTCACACGAAGCCACGCCCACGCCGTCGGCTGCCCCGAGCGAGCCGCGCAGACGGAAGTGACGCGCAGGGCGCGCTTCCGGGAGTGGCTGTGTCTTGACCATGCTGTCCGAGCTCGGTTTCATCGGGACTATAGGCGAGGATGACGAGGTGCCGCTGGAGCCCGAGTCCGACTCGGGAGACGAGGAAGAAGAGGTAGGAGCCGTCCGGGCTCGGGCGTCCTCGATCGCTTCCTTTCCCCGCCATCGTCTCCATCTGCTCACCCTTGCTCCGGGGCCGGTCCACGTCGCCTTGCCGGGCTCGGTGACCGAAGCCTCAGCCCATCTCCGTGTGATGGAGACCCGCAGACGCGGTCGCACGGCTGTCCTTCTGCTCGGGTGTCCGGCGACGAGTCAGCACTGACTGGCAGTGGGCTAGGAGGGCGCCTGTCTCCGGAGGCGGGGGTCGCTGCGGGAGACCCATGGGGGTGTCGCCCGGCCGCTCCAGGTCCAGCTCGTGCCCTCCCTCACCTGCCGTCCGCCTCGCTTCTCCAGCTGGACGTTCTGGACGGCTCCACAGCCCCTCTCGGAACCGCCCAGCCCCCTGCCCCGTGCACCAGAACAGGCCGCTGCCCTCTGGAGTGCGGACACCCGCTGGCCAGGCGCACTGTCCTCCCTCTCTCTCTGGTTCTGACCTAGTGTCTTGTTGGCAGCGAGAGGCGTTTTCACACTTGTCCTCCTCGGCCGTTCCCTTCCCGTCTCCTCCGGCTGCAGCCATGGCCTTGCTGACTTGTGGCCTGGTGGGTGTGTGTTTTCTGCGCGACCTCTTGGAGGTGTTTGCATTTCCTGCAGACTTGCTGCCGAGAGGCCTGTGGCCGTTGGAGATGCTGCAGCTGTCTGTCCGTTTATCGTCCGGTGTGTTTCTGGTCTCTGGGGTCGTGTGTGCCTCTGCTTCTTTCTGCTGTTGTGTCCCCTCCGCCAGGCTTCACCTTCTGCCTCCCTCTTGACAGGGGCCCATCGTGCTGGGCAGAAAGCGGAAAGCCTTGCAGAAGAGCCGCAGCGCCGATTTCAACCCTGACTTCGTTTTCACCGAGAAGGGTGGCGCCTACGACGGCAGCTGGGCTCTGGCGGATGTCATGAGCCAGCTCAAGAAGAAGGTGAGATTGACCGCGGAGGGCAGTCGCTGGCCTTGGCCGGCCTCCCCACCCTTTCCCGCCTGCTTGTGTTTACTGGAGCTCATTGGACAGGACGTGGTGTGATTTTGGTGCGGTAGGATGGGGAGAGGAGGTCACGGGCAACTGAGAATCTCTACCACCTCCAGAGTGTAAAATGGAGCGACAAGCTGGCTTTATTGAAGACTTCAGTAGTAGCTAGTCATTGATTTGTGAATGATGTTCTAGAAGCAGTGCAAATATTCGTGATGCCTTTTGCTAGAGGGGAAGTGAGTTCAGGCAGACTTCAGTGTACGCATCGTGAGAGGCCCTGACTTTATGGACATTCAAGTGTGACAGAGCAGCTCTTAGAAGATGTCTGATGATAGCAGACAGTGGTTGAGGGGTGCCAACTATGGCATAAATAACCATAGCCAATCTAAAAATACATATACACACAGAGAGAGCCATGTTTTAAAAAGGCTGCTTTTTCTGATGTTCATTCCTTTTTTTTTTTTTTTAAGATTTATCTTATTTTTGTTGGAAAGGCAGATTTACAGAAAGAAGGAAATACAGCAGAATGATCTTCTGTCCACTGGTTCACCCCCTCACATAGCTGCAATGACCAGAGCTGAGCTGATCCGAAGCCAGGAGCTTCTTTATGCAGGTGCAGGGTCCCAAGGCTTTGGGCTGTCCTCTATTGCTTTCCCAGGCCACAAGCAGGGAGCAGGATGGGAAGTGGAGCAGCCGGGATATGAACTGGCACCTATGTGGGATCCAGGGCATGCAAGGCAAGGATTTAGCCACTGGGCCACCATACCAGGCCCCAATTCCTTGTTTTAAACATTAGGAAGAAAGCTTTGTTGTATCAATTTGTAACAGAGAACAGTCTAATGGACAGCTTTGGTAGTATTTTTCTTTTTAGAATTTTATTGTTATTTGAGAGAGTAACAATAAAATTCTGTCTACTGGCTTACTCCCCAGTGCCTGGAGCAGCTGAGACTGGACCAAGCCAAGGCCAGGGGCTAGGAGCTCCATCCAGTTCTCTCACTTGGGTGGTAGGAACCCAGACCTCTGAGCCATCCCTGATGCCTCCCAGGGTCTATAGGAGAAGGCTGCAGTGAATGTGGTGGTCAGGTCTTCCAGTAAGGCATGTGCTGTTCTGATTGGACATAGCAGGGGAAGGATTCTTCACACAGCATTTAGATATAGCTCTTGTATCTTGGTAATTGTATCAGTGTTGGAAGTTCTTTCTAAAATGCAGATACTTGTGCTAGTTCCTAATGATTTAAAGGTGTTTAGGTGTTTGTTTGCAAATAGACCAATTATTTAACCCCTCCTTTTTCCCATGAATAATCTGCAGATTGGTCGATCTGTGCAAAGATAAGCCTTTTTCCATCTTCACATTTGCATCCAGCTGTCAGAGATCCTGCTTGGTCACTGTTACATTTTTCTTTTAAATTTCTTTAATTTTATTTGCAGAGGGCAGCCACTACGTTAGATGAGAAGATTGAGAAAGTTCGAAAGAAGCGGAAGCTGGAGGTGAGAAGGCAGTGCCGTTGCTCATGGCAGTGGCACCCTAGGTTTGTGCTCTGCCCTCCCCCCCAGGGTCTCCTGGTGCTCCTTTATTGTATTTATTTGCAAGTCAGAGTGACACAGCGAAGGAGAGAGACAGACGTTTCCATGTGCTGGTTTGATCTCCACTGGCCACACTGAGCTGAGCTGAGCAGGTCAGAGCCAGGAGTTCTGGTTGCATTCTGGTTTCTCGTGGGGGTGGCAGAAGCCCAAGTACTGCACTGCTTTTCCAGGCACATTAACAGGGAGCTGGATGGGAAGTGGAGCAGCCAGGAATTGAGCTGATGCCCTGATATGAGGTGCCAGCATGGCAAGTGGCAGCTTAACTCTGTCCACAACACTGGCCCCGTCCTGGTCCTCTTGGGTCACTAAGAATCGCACAGTCTCTGTCCCGGCTCTCAGGCCCAATAGTACACTTGTCTAGGTTCTGAATTTCCTGCAGCTCCTTGTTACCCTGCCTTTCCTGTAATTTTTTCCTCCCAGGATAAAGAAGCCAAATCTGGGAAGGTGGAAAAGGAGAAAGAATCCCAGGAGGGTTCTGAGCCTGAGCCAGGGGACCAGGAAGATCCTGCGGAAAAAGATGAAGAAGGAGAGGAAGAGGAAGAGTCAGAAACTGACTACTCTTCAGCTGAGGAGAACATCCTCACCAAAGCAGGTGGGTAGACCCTGGAGCCGGTGGGCGGAGCCTGGAGCTGGTCAGTGGACCCTAGAGCCAGCAGAAATGGGCACTGGGATGGGAAAACATTCACCTTTGTCCTATAGGAATTCTGGTGTTCTGTACGGTTCATATATTTAAAAATTTGTTGAATTATTTTTTATGTGTTTGAAAGAGACAGACAGACACACTGACACATTTTTCCAAAATGCTCAGAACAGCTAGGATAGGCCTAGGCCTAAGCCAGGAGCCTGGGATTGTACTCTGGTCTCCCATGTGGATTGTAGGGATGCAAGTACTGGACGCATCTCCTGCTGCCGCCTGGGTGCGCGTAGGCAGGAAGCAGGATTGAAGTGGAGGCAGACTCCCGAGTTTGCTCTGGGAGGCAGGCGTACCAAGTGTCCTAACCCCACTGAACCACAGTACTCAGCCCACCCCCAGCAAATGGTTCAGATCTCTTCCTCGCTACACTGGATCCCTGTGGGAACTGGCATGGACCAACCATCTCACTTGTCAGGAAGTTTCCTCTTGGCCCAGCTGGACAGCTCTGGACAGCTCTGTGACTCACCCTTGCACTGATGTGGATCAGCCAGATCCCCAGGGAACATGTTTTGCAGAAGTGTGTACTCACCCGCTATACTGCGGCTCAGCTTTCGGAGCCTGTTCTCCGGACCAGCCAGCCAGCTTTGCTTCCTGTCAGACCCTGGGCTCCTTTTCTCAGAGGTCACATGAGTGTCTTCATTTGGGAACTGAAGCCAGCCACTGGCTGCCCGACAGGACCGTTCTCTAGTGACACTGTATGGGACGTGGTGGTGGCTTGGTGTGGTTGTCAGCTTGGCTCTTCTTTATAGATACTCTGAAGGTGAAGGAGAAGAAGAGGAAGAAGAAAGGACAGGTGAGTGGGACCAGGAGCCGGGGTGGGCTCATCTTGAAATCCTGCAAGGATTTTGGGGTCATTCACTGCCCACACCCCATCCTGTGTGCTGAATTCTCACTGTTTGTTAACCTTCTGCTGCAGGAAGCGGGTGGATTTTTTGAAGATGCGTCTCAGTACGACGAAAGCCTCTCCTTCCAGGACATGAACCTGTCCCGCCCTCTTCTGAAGGTGGTGATCTCTGGGGGCCCCTAGGGACCCATAACCACAGCACGCCTCCCTCCCAAGACAGAGACCCCACAACTGCTATCTTCCCAGCCTCACCTTTCTCCCAGGCCTCTCCCTTGAGATCAAAGCTAGTGCTGCCGTATCGGCCCCAAGGCCCTTGGGTGAGGTCTCTGAACGTCACTGTGTGCTGGCCAGTTGCCCTGCCCTCTTTGCTGGTGCTCCAGCTGTCATGCAGCCGCTGCCCCAGGCCACTTCCCAGCCCCCTCACGGCGCAGTGTCCTCCCCGCACATGACTCATGGGACCTGTCTTTGTTTTGGACCTATTTGTTTTCATTACTTTATGGGGTTCTTTTTTTTTTTTTTTTAAGATTTATTTATTGGAAAGTCAGATATACAGAGAGGAGGAGAGACAGAGAGGAAGATCTTCATCCGATGATTCATTCCTCAAGTGAGTGCAACAGTCAGTGCTGTGCCAATCCGAAGCCAGGAACCTCTTCTGGGTCTCCCACACTGGTGCAGGGTCCCAAAGCCTTGGGCCATCTTCGACTGCTTTCCCAGGCCACAAGCAGGGAGCTGGATTGGAAATAGAGCTGCCGGGATTAGAACTGGCACCCATATGGGATCCCGGGGTGCATTCAAGGCAAGGACTTTAGCCGCTAGGCCACGCTGCCGGGCCCTATTTTATGGGGTTCTTAAGGGCAGAGATTTCCCCCCCTTCACCATTTTTTTGGTTGTTGTTGTTCTTTGCTGCTCTATGCTGCGGGCCTGGCACAGCACTGAGGTTCTGTACCCCATGTGGTCTGGGTCACTGTGTGTGGGATGAGTTCCAGGAGGGATGGCTGTAGTTTGCCAGGAGCCTGCCAACTTGTGCTGGCAATTTGTTTCCAGCTGGGACTGCATCACAACCGCTGCCCCCGCTGAGCCTGTCTTTTGCTCTTCAGGCCATCTCCACCATGGGCTTCAAGCAACCCACCCCCATCCAGAAGGCCTGCATCCCTGTGGGCCTGCTGGGAAAGGACATCTGTGCCTGCGCGGCCACGGGGACAGGTAGGGCCCGGTACCAGTTGGGGTCCAGGGTGGACCTTGTGGGATACCAGTGGGTTATCAGGCTTTGCTTGTTTGAGCTAGGGGTCATGTTTACAGGAAATCTGTCAGATTGGGGGTTTCCAAGGCTTTTGAAGACTCAGGGGAACTTGGAGTTGGCCAGTTCTCATTTTGTCTGCATGGGCAGGATTTTACAGAATGTTCTGAGCCCTTTTCCCAAGTTGCTGGAGGGGAACTGGGGGTGACCAGCAGCACCCCCTGTTGGGGGGAGGGGAAGAATCAGCAGTTAGCACCTCTTCAGGGATGCCAGTGTGACGCAGAGGTAAAGGACTTAAACATTTCCATTTCCAACAGGGTGGGAACTCTGAGTCCTTCTCATAGCAGGAACATCCCATGTAGCTGTAGCCGTAGCTGTGGGGCAGCATCAGTCCCCAGCATCATCATAGATGCAGTAATGTTGACTCAGTGCATGGCTTGCTCAGTTTGTGGAAGGCTTCAGTGTTGATGTAGTGTCTGGGGGAGGTGTGGTCATGTTGTGGGGCTCAGGTTTGTTGGGGGTCTGTTGAAGGTTGTGTTTGGACAGTCCTCCAGGCACTGAGTGAGGGAGCACCCTGCATGGCAGCCCTGGGATCGTTGGTTTCACAGCAGAGTGTGCAGGTGTCACAGTGCTGTGCAGCCATGTGACCAAACAGCACTTACAAAAAAAAAAAAAAGAAAATATATATTCATGTTTTTTCCTAGAAAAACTATAAAGCAATTTCTAGTGTTACTATGTAAGAATATGTGTGTTTTTATGTTTCTTGGTCCACAAAGGAGTAAGATTGAGAACACAGGACCCATTGACGTTTGCAGTGGATTTTCCAGAGAGCATAATGTGGCTGGACTAGGGGTGCTGGTTTTTGTGGTCCTCAGAAGTTTGGCATTGACCGTGTGGCTTGAGAGGATAGTAATAGTGTGTTGTCTCCGAGCAGGACCCTGTGGGTTTTCTGTGTTGGAGGGGACATTCCAGCTCTGAAAGGAACCGGGTCACTTCATTTCTTGCTGCTCCCTGGACAGGAAAAACGGCTGCTTTCGCCCTGCCCGTGTTGGAGCGGCTGATCTACAAGCCCCGCCAGGCGCCTGTCACCCGTGTGCTGGTGCTGGTTCCCACCCGTGAGCTGGGCATCCAGGTGCACTCGGTCACCAAGCAGCTGGCACAGTTCTGCAACATCACTACCTGCCTGGCTGTGGGTGAGTTTCTGACCGCTGAGGGACTGCGATGGGGTGGAAGCCAGGTGTGTCCTGTGCCCTGCAGGTGCTGGGGGCCCGGAAAGGCCTCCGTTGAATGGATCTACTTATAGACCAGATGTCCTGTTTACACAGAAAGGGGATGGAGGAGATTGAGATTGAGGCAGCCTTAAAAAAGCACCAAAATTACAGGAAAATTTCTCTCGGTGTTGAATACACTCGGGCTGCCTGTGATTTTTTTTCTTTTTAAAAATATTTGAGACAGAGTGTCCTTCCTCTGACTCGCCTGTGACAGCGGGGGCCAAACCAGGTCAAAACAAGAGCCCAGAGCTAGAGGCGGCAGAGTCCCAAGTGCACACGCCGTCTGCTGCTGCCTCCCAGGGTACCCGTTTTCAGGAAGCTAGTATCACGAGTGGGCATGAGATTTCAACCCAGACCCTATGGTACAGAGGCAGGTATCATGCCCAAGCTGGTGTCTGCACTGCTGGGCCAAACACCTGCTCTTTTTTTTGTTTTAAGATTTATTTATTCATTTATTTATTTATTACAAAGTCAGATTACAGAGAGGAGGAAAGACAGAGAGGAAGATCTTCATCCGATGATTCATTCCTCAAGTGAGTGCAACAGTCAGTGCTGTGCCAATCCAAAGCCAGGAGCCAGGAAACTCCTCCAGGCCTCCCACATGGGTACAGGGTCCCAAGGCTTTGGGCTGTCCTTGACTGCATTCCCAGGCCACAGGCAGGAAGCTGGATGGGAAATGGAGCAGCCGGGATTAGAACTGGCACCCATAGAGGATCCCGGCACGTTCAAGGCGAGGACTTTAGCTGCTAGGCCACTGCGCCAGGCCCAAATGCCTGCTCTTAGGATATCCTGTCTGCTTAGCATGAAAGATGAATCAAGCATTATTTGGGGCAGAATTTTTGTGGTGAAGTTGTATGAGAGTGCCATCCAACCTGCTCTCCGTCTATTGGAAGTCAGAGGTGATCTTTTTCATCCCATCTGTGGTGACATCAGTGATTCTCACAGCTGCTTCTTCCTATCTTTGGGGGTTTCCATTCTCATATTCCTTAGTGCCTTTGTGTCATCTTTTTGCTTTTCAAATGACTGGCTCTCTCCGTGGCTTGCAGAGTCCATGCAGGTGGGCCTGGGTCAGTCCAGTTCTCTGCTGTTTCCTCTGCATTGGGCTGTGTTTGAGGTGGGAGTTCAGCTCAGCCCATGGGTGTCTGACCTGACTCCTGGCGGGCTTTCCTCGTAGGTGGCCTGGACGTGAAGTCGCAGGAAGCAGCTCTTCGGGCAGCCCCTGACATCCTCATTGCCACCCCAGGGCGGCTCATCGATCACCTGCACAACTGCCCCTCCTTCCACCTGGACAGCGTCGAGGTGCTCATCCTAGATGAGGCTGACAGGTGCGCCACTGTGGCGGGGCCGTGGGCGCTCTGGGCTCCCGAGGGCCATGCCCGGATGTGGAGCTGTGTTGTTCTCCATGCCTTCGTGCCCTTCACCCAGATTTTGCTGCCTCTCTCTCTGGTTAAGCTGTGAGGTAGTCCACACTTGTGCTCTACTCTGCTGCTTGCCATCTGAGGTCTGGCAGCGTAGTCTGGGTTCTCAAGGTTGAGAACTCTTGTTGGAAACATGGGTTGTAGAGTGGTACCTACTGTGGGGAATGAGACCCCACTGAAGTCTCCATGCCAATGATGGGAGCTCCGTCGATTCCTCCTCCATCACTTCTCCCTGCTTCCTTTTCTCTCAAGGGTCCTACCTGCTTACCTCTTTCCTTCATGGCAGAATGAAACCAGCTCTGTGGGCACTGGGTTGGTGATGCGGGGGCGAGTTTCAGCAGGCTGCAGATAACCCGGAGTGAGTTGGGGTCATCTCCCAGTCAAAATAGCACAGAATGGACAGATTGTAAAGGGGTGTCTGATCATGCATGCCCCCTCTCACCAGTCTCAGGGAACAACAACTCCTTGTCTGTTCCCCTGTCTGTCCAAGACTCATGCTGGCCCCATGGGTGTCCATGCTGGCTGTCCCTTGGTAGGCAGTGCTCTTCTGTCCACTTGGGCTGTTGCTGCACTTGGTCCGCAGGAGGGGCCACAGCTGACTTTCCTTGGGAAGTTCCTGCCTTCCTCACGTTCTATTGGTTCTCTAAGGTATGGATGCCACTCTGTCCTGATGCTGCACCACAGCAAGTCTGGTGCTGGAGTCAAGGAAAGGGGAGCTCCAAGGCGCCATTCGGGGAAGAGTGGAGCAGACCTGAATGTGACCTGTACTTCATGTCCTTCAGGCCCTTGGTGCCCTTGTGGTGACAAGGCAGAAGTCTGTCCTCAGGAGGCTTGCTCAAAGATTTGGGGGTCAAGGGCCGTGATGTCTGCAACTTGTCAGTGGTTTAGCAGAGAAGGCGCGGGAATGGAGCAGAATGGTCATTCTTGGTGCATGGGCAAAATAACCCCAAGAATGACGAGAGAGGCGGCCTTGTGCAGCCCCTGGCCTGTGTGCTGGGCTGCGTGCTGCTCCCGACGGCCGTCGCTTCTGCTTCTGCCCCCAGGATGCTGGACGAGTACTTCGAGGAGCAGATGAAGGAGATCATCCGCATGTGCTCCCAGCACCGCCAGACCATGCTCTTCTCGGCCACCATGACTGACGAGGTGGGCCCGGGCGGCTCTGCTGGCCGTGCTGGGGAGTGTGCAGGGCTGTGCAGTCTCCCCGGTCGGGCTGGAGGGGCTGCCTGGGCACGCACTGAGCGCCTTGGCCTTGTGCCTGGCAGGTGAAAGACCTGGCTTCTGTCTCCCTGAAGAACCCCGTGCGGATATTTGTAAACAGCAACACGGACGTGGCCCCCTTCCTGCGGCAGGAGTTCATCCGCATTCGGCCTAACCGGGAAGGGGATCGGGAAGCCATCGTGGCAGGTGAAGGCCCAGGGGTCACACGGCAGTTCTCTGTCCCTGCTTGCAAGTGTGGGCTCCCCACCCCCCAGGGCAGAGCAGGTGCTGAGTGAGAGCCCAGCAGCTCCTTCTCTCCTCCCTGCAGCCCTGTTGACGAGAACCTTCACCGACCATGTGATGCTGTTCACCCAGACCAAGAAGCAGGCCCACCGCATGCACATCCTCCTGGGCCTCATGGGGCTGCAAGTGGGCGAGCTGCACGGCAACCTGTCTCAGACACAGCGACTCGAGGCCCTTCGGTAATGACCGGGCGGGGGTGGTAACTCCATTAACCTTGCTTCTGGCGCCATTCACAGGAGGGAAAAATTATACACAGAGCAAGGGACACTTGAGGCCAGTGTGGTGGCTCAACAAGCTAATCCTCCACCTGTAAGCACTGGCATTCCATATGGGTACTGATTTGTGTCCTGGCTGCTGCACTTCCAATCCAGTTCCCTGCTTATGACCTGAAAGGCAGTGGAGGACGGCCCAAGTCCTTTGGACCCTACACCCATATGGGAGACCCAGAAGAGCTCCTGGCTTCAGATTTGGCTCAGCTCTAGCCATTGTATCCATTTGAGTGAACCAGTGGACAGAGATCTCTGCTCCTGTCTGAAAATCTGCTTTTCAAGTGAAAATAAATAAATCTTTAAAAACAAAATCACTAGGGGACACAGGCAGCACTAGGGGACAAGGCACAGCTCCTTGGCATTCCTGTTGAGGGTGTCTTGACCTGAGAGCTGCTAGGGGTGGGCCTCCATGGGAATCTGACTGGAAAGCCAACTCCTGGTCTGTGGCTGCAGCTGGCCAGGACGGCAGCCATGCCTGCAGTTGACTGGATGAGATTCGGAGTCAGAGCTGGCAGGGCAGGGGAGCCCTAGGGTTCTGTTCATTTATCACTGACATTCACACATTCCCTTTCCTGGAAACCTTATGCATTTGGAAAGGAGAGAGAGAGAGAGAGAGAGAGAGAGAGACAGGTCAATGTTGCATCTGCTGGTTCACTCACTTAATGACCACAAGAGCCTGGCTAGGCCAGGCTGAAGTCAGGAACACAGAACTCCATGTAAGTCTCCCATGTAGGTGGTAGGGCTCTGGTACTTGAGCCCTCATGTGCTAATTTGCAGGTGCATTGGCAGGGAGCTGGGGCAGAACAGGTGCTGCCAGAATTTGAACCAGGGGTTGTTCCAGGCAGTGACTTAACTTGCTGCTCCACAGTGCCAGCCCCCTTGTGGCGATTTCAGTGTCCCACTCTGTTCTCTGCTGGGGTCGGGCATCTGAATAGTCTGGCTATTTCTAGACGCTTCAAGGATGAACAGATTGACATCCTCGTGGCCACAGATGTGGCAGCCCGTGGACTGGACATCGAAGGGATCAAAACGGTGAGCAGGGCCCGTCTCTTGGGAACTCTGTCTCCACATTGCCTACTCCCCCACTCCCTCTCCTGCCTCTACCTGTGCTGGCTGATGCTCCGTGTTGGCCTTCCAGGTAATCAACTTCACCATGCCCAACACCATCAAACATTATGTCCACCGGGTGGGGCGGACAGCACGTGCCGGCCGGGCAGGACGCTCAGTGTCCCTGGTGGGAGAAGAGGAACGGAAGATGCTGAAGGAGATCGTGAAGGCTGCCAAGGCTCCTGTGAAGGCCCGCATCCTCCCCCAAGGTGAGAGGCGGCCCCATGTTCACACAGGTGGGCACGGCGCATGGCTGGGAGCAGGTGTTTCGCAGTCAACTGGGCTGTGATCCCTGCTGTGCAGCGGCCTGCTGAGATCCTGGGCAGGTCTCTGGTGCCTCTGTTGGCCTCAGCCTTCCTGGGGGTGTAGCAGGAAGGATAAAACATGGGTGCAAGGCCTCACTAAGATAATTCCCTTGGGAGGATGGGAAGGAAAGGTCTTTTCCCCGGGAGGCGCGAGGAGCTGCTCTCTCCCTCTCAGGGAGGCAGAGGAGAGAGTGCAGCCAGGCTTGTTCCTCTGAGCCATGGGTTCGAACAAAGGTCATCTTTTGAAAGAAAAAATTTACGATTTACTTATTTTTATTGGAAAGGCAGACATAAAGAGAGAGACAGAGGGAAAGATCTTCGTCTGTTGATTCACTCCCCAAGTGGCTGCAATGGGCAGAAATAAACCCATCTGAAGCTGGGAGCCAGGAGCTTCTTCAGGGTCTCCCATTCGGGTGCAGGGTCCCAAGGCTTTGGGCCGTCCTCCACTGCTCTCCCAGGCCACAAGCAGGGAGCTGGATGGGAAATGGAACAGCTGGGACATGAACCTGCACCCATATAGGATCCTTGGTGTGCAAGGCGAGGACTTTAGCCACTAGGTTACTGTGCTGGGCTCTAAAACTTTTTAAAGCTATTTATTTCTTGTTGGGAACTGGTTAACAAAATGAGTAAAAGCAATAATTTTTACATCACAACCTCTCAGACCTTTGCTCATTCACAGACTTCTCCCCTCTCCTCCTGTATTCAAGTTCACTTAGCAGATAGTTCGATACCACCGTGGGGCTGGAACTGGGGATCCCACAGGACTGCTATTCTGGTGGCAGAAAGAGGTGGCAGCATGGAGGATGTATCAGAAAGTGGTGGCAGTGGTGCCTCCCCCAGAAAAGCTGATCAGGAAAGACCTCAGCTCTGGCCCCAAACCGAGGGGGAGCTGGGACCGTGGCATTCTGCACAGAGAATGGTGCTGAGGCAGGGGCTGCTTGTGGGAGTCTAGAAACGTCCAAGAGCCACAAGAAGCCTTGGGGGACTGTGGAGCAGAGAAGTCCTGCTTCAGAAGGCACCATTTCCTGTGGCAGGAGATACAGATTTGCCTGTTTTTTTTTTTTCTTCTTTATTTAATCAGCCTTGTAGTATGAGCATTCACCTGTATTTTAAAACTTTTTACACCCTTGCTTCAAGAGGTGATCCTTAAATTTCGGGACAAGATCGAGGCAATGGAGAAAGATGTGTATGCAGTCCTGCAGCTGGAGGCAGAAGAGAAGGAGATGCAGCAATCAGAAGCCCAGGTGAGGCTGCGAGCAGAGCTCAGCCCGATGCCAGGCTCACCGGCTGCAGCTGTCACCGTGGCCCCACCCTTGTCAGCTGCTCACAGTACAGGGGGCACCTTTTTGCTGTCTCGGCAGATCAACACAGCCAAAAAGCTCCTGGAGAAGGACAAGGAGGCACCGGGCCAAGAGCCGGAGAGAAGCTGGTTCCAGACCAGAGAAGAGAGGAAGAAGGAAAAAGGTGGGTCAGGAATTCCCAGGGGCCCAGCACCTCCACATATGCCCAGAGCACCAAGAGTAGGTGCTGGGGCAGAGCTGGTGAGGCTGGTGCCGGGCTTTGGTGAGGCATTATTCCTGGTAGCCAGGAGCATTGTGCCACCACAGTTAGGTCCCACAGAGGACCCCTGCAACCTATTGGAATGCCTGAGTTCAAGTTCCCACTCTGTTACCGATCCAGTTTCCTACTAGTGCATCTTGAGAGCAGCAGGTAGCCTTCTGACAGTAGTGTATGAGTTTGAGTCTTAAGTCTGTCATGTGACTCCAGCTTCCTGCTAACACAGATGATGCTGTAAGGCAGCAGATGATGACAGCTCAGTTGCTGGCATCCCAGCCGCCCACCTGGGAGAGCTGGTGGGTTCCTGGCTCAATTTCTGGCTCCTCACTTTAACCTGGCCCAGTGGCCACATTGTGGGCATGTAGAGGATAAACCAGCTAATGGAAGCTCTGTCTCTCAGTAAATAGTGGGTCAGCAAAATGTGTATAGTTGTTTCTGCACATTGGACTGTTCAGTCCGAGTCTAAACTGTGAGTGCATTTTGCCGAACACAGTGATCCCCACAAGCAAGGATGTGGGCTTCCCTGTGCATGGGGCACATCGCAGGTCACCAGGGCAGGGAGCCAGCTGAAGTGTTTGGGATGGAGGCACTGGCCTCCCCTGTTTGGAGTTTGGGGAACCAATTGTGAAGGTTATGTGACATTAATACTACATGAAAGCAGTGATGCCACAGAATTGTACTTAAAAATGGACAAAATGGTAAATTTTACCACAGTTAAAAATGTTAATGGTGCCAGCAGGATAATCTAGTAGCTAAATCCCCACCTTGTATCTGCTGGATCCCTTATGGGTCCCAGTTTGTGTCCTAGGTGTTTCACTTCCCATCCGGCTCCCTGCTTGTGGCCTGGGAAAGCAGTAGAGGACAGTCCAAAGCCTTGAGACCCTGCACCCGTGTGGGAGACCTGGAGGAGGTGCCTGGCTCCTGGCTTCAGGTCGGCTCAGTTCCAGCCACTGTGGCCACTTGGGGAGTAAGCCAGTGCACAGATGATCTCTCTGTCTCTCCTCCTCTTTGTATATCTGTTTTTCCAATTAAAAAAAATAAAAATAAATATATGTATATGAAAAGATATATATGTATTTATATAATAATATAAATATATATGAAAAATATTATATATATATTAGCAAGGCCAGGAGATATTTTTCTTATTTCCTTCTCTTTTTAAGGAAAACAACAACAGCAATATTAATGGATTCACATTGTTCTACACCTTGCTTTCTCAGTTTCATTAAAGACCATTTTGTATGGGTACACGTACAGCTTATAAACAAGTTTATTTTCATTTTGATTTGGAAGGCAGAACCATAGAGAGAGACAGTGATTGAGAGGTCCTCCTTCACTCCTCAGATGCCTGCTGAAGCCAGGATCAGCAACTCCATCCAGATTGCTCGTGTGGGTGCCAGGGACCAAAGTACTTTTGTTGTTTTAAAGACTGATTTATTTACTTATTTATTTAAAAATCAGAGTTACAGAAAGAGGGGAAAAAACAAGATTGAAATCTTCCATCTGCTGAGGGTGGCCTACCAGGAACCTCATCTTGGTCCCAAACAGATGGGTGATGCATTATCAGGGTGCTTGTTTGGAAATGGAATAGTCAGAACCCATACTGGTGTTGATGTGGGATGTCAAAGCTACAGGCAGCGGCTTAACCCAGCACCGTACAACGTCAGCCCCAGAAACCTACGGACTTAAGTCATTACCTGCTGCCTTCCAGGATCCACCTTAGTAGGAAGCAAAGCTGGGACTTCAGTCCAGCCCTTCCCTGTGGGGACGACATGGTCTTCTATTAGTTCGACATACTTTATTTAATAAATGCCCAGTTACAGGTCATTTTTTAAAGTGACTTATTTTTATCAGAAAGTCATAAACAGAGAGGAGGACAGAGAGGAAGATCTTCTGTCTATTGATTCATTCCCCAAGTGGCCGCAATGGCAAGAGCTGAGTTGGTCCAAAGCTAGGAGCCAGGAGCCCCTTCCTGGTTTCCCACATGGGTGCAGGGTACCAAGGCTTTGAGCCATCCTACTGCTCTCCCAGGCCACAAGCAGGAGCCGGATGGGAAGTGGGGCCACTGGAACTTGAACTGGTGCCCATATGGGATCCCAGGTGTGCAAGGTGAGGACTTTAGCCACTAGGCTATCACACTGGGCCCCAACAGGTCAATGAAGTTCCTGATCTTACCATTTTGTTTTGTTTTAGGTTTATTTCTTTATTTGAAAGAGTGATAGAAAGGAGAGAGTGAGCAAGGGAGAAAGAAATTTTAATTTGTTGGTTCACTGCCCAAATGACTGCATGGTCAGACAGAAGCCAGGTACACGAAACTCCATCTGGGTCTCCTCCGTGGGCGGCAGAGCTCAAGCACTCACACATGATCCCACGCTTTTCCAAGTGCTATGCGCCTCCCTACCTTCCTTTATCCCTCATTTCCTCCTCTCTGTAAATCTGCCTTCCCAGCAAAAATAAATAAATCTTTAAACAACAACAACAAAAACAATTTCTCTGTGAGAAGGCGTGGCCAGTGTAAGTGTATAAACCTTCAGGTTTTGCAGCCGGAAGTCAGGAGATAATGAAGATAGTGGAGAAACAGTTGAGCCAACTTGTTTTTAGTGTGATAGGGGGCATCACCAGAAGAGAAAGCAATTCTTGCTTTCATCTCCAGATGTTAGGCACCATTTTTTAAAAATATATATATTAAGCCTGGCGCGATTGCGCAGTGCTTAAGGTCCTCGCCATGCACACCCAGGATCCCATATGGGCGCCAGTTCTAATCCTGGCAGCCCCGCTTCCCATCCAGCTCCCTGCTTGTGGCCCGGGAAGGCAGTCAAGGACGGCCCAAGGCTTTGGGACCCTGCACCCACGTGGGAGACCCGGAAGAGGCTCCTGGCTTCGGATCGGCATAGTATCGGCCGTTGCGCTCACTTGGGGAGTGACTCATCGGACGGAAGATCTTCCTCTCTGTCTCTCCTCTCTGTATATCCGCCTTTCCAATAAAAAAAAAATAAGTCTTAAAAAAAAATAAATATATATATATATTACTTAATTGAAAGGCAGACTTAAGTGAGAGGTAGAGAGATTGTGTATTACTTCCCTCTCCCCAAATGGCAGTAATAGCCAGGGCCAGGCCAGCTCAAAGCCAGGAGCCAGGAACTTCCATCCTGGGAGACAGGGGCCCAAAACCCTTGGGCCACCTTCTCCTGCCTTTCCCAGGTTATGGATCAGAAATGGAGCAACCAGGACTTGAACACTTTAAAATCTGTGCACTGTTTCCTGTCGGGTTAACAAAATACCTTGCCTGGTTCCTGGAAGCCTCTTGTTCTTTTCCCATTCCAGTTGCCAAGGCTCTGCAAGAATTTGACTTGGCCTTAAGAGGAAAGAAGAAGAGGAAGAAGTTTATGAAGGATGCCAAGAAGAAGGGGGAGATGACAGTGAGTGGGCCCCCACGGGGTAAGGGGTACAGTGGCTATTCCCGCACTCACAGCACCCCCTTCCCTAGGCAGAAGAACGGTCCCAGTTTGAAATTCTGAAGGCACAGATGTTTGCTGAGCGCCTGGCCAAGAGGAATCGCAGGACCAAGCGGGCCCGGGCCATGCCTGAAGAGGAGCCCATGAGAGGCCCTGGTAGGTGGTGGGAACCCGCTGCATGGACCCCAAGTGTCTCCCCGAAGGCTGCAACAATGGAGCAGCTGCCACACCTGCAGTCATCACCCTGAGTTGAAGGGGATTTGGATGCCTGGATCCACCAGGACCGTGTCTGACCCATCTCTCTGCACACAGCCAAGAAGCAGAAGCAGAAGAAGACATCTGTGTTTGATGAGGAGCTCACCAACACCAGTAGGAAGGCCCTGAAGCAGTACCGAGCCGGGTAGGGCTTTAGGTCACAGAGTCTTAAGGGGGTGGTGACAGCCTTTGCACCTCAAGGTCCATCCCATAGATTTCCAAAGGACCCCACTTGCTCTTGGGGAGTTATCATCCCTCCCCATGGCACTTGGTTCAGAGCTGGTGTCAGGCAGACTGAGTCCCCTGCATAGACATACCATACCCAGCAGATGCAAATGGGCCTTCTCTGCCCGGTTTTCAAGCTGGCCCTTGACTTTCAGGAGCAGGCACTGGCAGATAGAACAGCCTAGGGTCTGGAAACTGCTTGTCCTGGTGATGCTGGGGGCAGGGGGGGCTGCCACTCAATGTCCAGCAGCTTGCCCATTTCAGCGTCTTTTCTTTCTTACAGCCCTTCCTTTGAAGAAAGGAAACAGTTGGGCCTGGCCCATCAGAGAAGAGGAGGGACCTTTAAGTCTAAATCCAGGTGATGTGTGTGGGTTGAGTGGGCTGGCCCAGAGCCTGTGCCTGAGGGTGGGAGCAGAACTGCTCATGGGCAAGGAGATTCTTCTCATGGCCTTAATTCTGTTGATTTTTTTAAAAAACAGGTATAAGAGAAGGAAATAACCATGGCGGATTGAAGAACCTTGTTGGGCAGCCCTTAAGTCCCTTCCCTGTGGGAAGTCTCTGTCTTGAGCTGTGTTCCCCAGTGTCTTTGGGGCCAGTGTTGTGGCATAGCAGGCTAAGCCAGTATCCCATATGGGCACCGGTTTGCATCCTGGCTGCTCTACTTCCAATTCAGGTCTATTAATGCACCTAACAAAACAGCAAGAGATAGCCCACATGGTTGGGCCCTGGTTTCCATATGGGAGACCTGGAAGAAGCTCTTGGCTGTGGCCTGGCCAAGACTCAGCTGTTGCAGCCATTTGGGCAGTAAACCAAGAGGCTATGGATTTTTTTTCAAATAAATAAATAAATACAAGTCTTCAAAAGTCTGTTGTTTGTGCTATTAAAAAAAAAAATACAAAGGTGGGGCCTGGCGTGGTAGTCTAGCAGCTTAGGTCCTCACCTTGCACTCACCAGGATCCCATATGGGCGCTGGTTCTAATCCTGGCAGCCCTGCTTCTCATCCAGCTCCCTGCTTGTGGCCCGGGAAAGCAGTCGAGGATGGCCCAAAACCTTGGGAGACCTGGAAGAGGCTTCTGGCTTCTGGCAGTGGATCAGCCACTTGGGGAGTGAATCAATGGACGGAAGATCTTCCTCTTTGTCTCTCCTTCTCTCTGTATATCTTTCCAATAAAATAAAAAAATCATTAGGGTTGGTGGCGTGTATTTGTCTCCCAAACATCTCTGCCAGTCAGCCAAGCTCCCTTGCTCATTAGCTTCCCCGTAATACACCAAATGGAAGGACTGTTCCTCAGGAGGGGAAGGGACCTACTGGCCTACTCACTCAGCACAGCCATATACACTTCATGATTGTGGAAGGGTGTGGGGTGAGGACATGCTTGCTGGACATTCCCTCCTGGGGCTTAGGTAAATGCTGTCGGCTCTTGGGTGCCGTGTGCCAGACACCACGTACCGAGCAGCATCCCGGTCAGCTCACTGTGCTGTTTCCTGGCTTTGCCACCAAGAAACAGTCTGGAGAAGGTGCATTTCCTGGAATCGTACGGTAATTATCTGGTTACATATAGACGAGTGTTTGCAAAGCTATCCCTTTAGGCCATGCCCAGGAGTCCCATATTGCTCCTCAGGTTAGAAAAGCCAATTGCACAAAGGTCCTCTTTCCTCCAAAAGGCATAAAGCATAAACGCTGCCTGTGTGCCCAGCAGGGTTGCCGCCAAGACTGGTGAAGTGTGTGCTTTGGCACAGCCCCTTTCTCACAGGACCAATGATTTGACAGCTCAAAAATGCTGTATCACAAAATCTGAAGCATTGGGCCCGGCGGTGTGGCCTAGAGGCTCAAGTCCTTGCCTTGAACGTGCCAGGATCCCATGTGGGCACCGGTTCTAATCCCGGCAGCCCTGCTTCTCATCCAGCTCCCTGCTTGTGGCCTGGGAAAGCAGTCGAGGATGGCCCAAGGCTTTGGGACCCTGCACCCGTGTGGGAGACCCAGAAACAAACTCCTGGCTCCTAGCTTCAGATTAGCTCAGCTCCAGTCATTGCAGCCACTTGGGAGTGAGTCATCAGACATAGGATCTTCCTCTGTCTCTCCTCCTCTCTGTATATCTGACTTTGTAATAAAAAAATAAATCTTTAAAATAAAAAATCTGAAGCATGGCCTTACTGTAGGCAGTGCTGTTTCTAGAAGTTAAGGGAAGGAACGAGGGTTTGACACAGGCCACCAAGGTACCCCTGGGGATGCCTGCACCCCCGTGTTGGAGTGTCCAGTGTTGAGTCCTGGCATCATGCTAATGTGTACTGGAGGCAGTAGGTCATGACTCAAGTGGCTGAATCCCTGCCATCTACCTGGGAAGATGGGGATTGAATTCAGAGTATCTGGCTTCAGCCTGGCCCAGCCTGTGCTGCAGGTATTTGAGGAGTGAACCAGAGAATGGGAAACCTGCCTTTCAGATAAAATGTTTTTGAAAGTCAAAAGATGGGTCCAGCATGGTAGCCTAGCAGCTAAAGTCTTGCCTTGAACATGCTGGGATCCCATATGGGTGCCAGTTATAATATTGGCAGCTCCACTTCCCATCCAGCTCCCTGCCTGTGGCCTGGGAATGCAGTCGAGGATGGCCCAAAGGCTTGGGATGCTGCACCTATATGGGAGACCCAGAGGAAGTTCCTGGCTCCTGGCTTCGGATTGGCATAGCACTGGCTGTTGTGGTCAATTGGGGAGTGAATTATCGGATGGAAGATCTTTCTGTCTCTCCTCCTTTCTGCATATCTGACTTTCCAATAAAAATAAAATAATCTTTAAAAAAAGTCAAAACACGAACTGATTTTTTTCCATCATTTTTATTGATTGGCTTTATAAGCTAAAGTGCATAGTTAAAGACAGAAAAAAGGAAATGCAACGTAGGATGTTTTTCTTGCCAAGGTTAGAAAGGACCTGAGATGGCTAAGTGGTGCTAAGGAGCCCTGGGCCGTGGGAAGGCGCTGCAGGCGGTAGGCCGGGGCCAGCTTCTGGCTTGGGGCCCACAGAAGCTGCTGGCATGCTAACCCTGCCCAGGCAGAAGCTGGGGAGGAGGTGCTGGGACAAAGGGGCACATTTGGGACAGCTGCTGCTGGTACTGAATGGGTCCAGGGAGGACCAGCATGGCCATGGGGTCTCTCCTATAGCAGGTAGAGACCTCCCTATTCTGAAGTACAAGTTACAGGAAAGGGTGCAGGGACCATGCCTTAATTAGCCTGGGCCTGCTGCGTCAGCCCTGAGCTGTGGGCAGAGCCCGTTTCCCCACTGGGTTACAGCGAGTGGAGGACTGTCTTATCATGGGCTTCTGACTCCTGGAGGGAGGTGCCTGAGGAGGAGGGAGGAGGGAGGAGGGATTCTTGTGCTCCTTGAAGATAAGCAGTTTGTAAACAGCTCCTCTGGGCTCTGTTTATTAGGATCAGAGTTAGTCTGCAAGTTAGGCAGTAAGAATCCACCAGCTATGCTGAGTCAACACTCGGTGCCTCAGGAACACTGTGTAAGAGACCTCTGACCATGTCAAGATCCACAGTGGCTCCTGGGCAGCCCTGGTGGGAGTCCCAGAAATGCCTCAGGGTGGTCCTTCCCCTAACTTGCAACAGAGGAAGAGGTGAGAGCTGTTACACTTGTTCAGTTTTGGAGGTAAAGTGCTTACTCTAGCGCAGGGTAAATCTAAAAAGAAATGTGGGCAAGCCCTAAAAGTGGATCCTTAAATAGGTGCTAAGACTAAAGGAGGATCATAAAAACACCCCCAGTTCCTCCACAGGGAAGCCGAGCACAGCCATGGAGTGGCCAAGCCGAAGGCAGCCGGCAGCCTCCTCCTATAACATCCTCTGGAGCTCCTCAAAGTTCATTAGGTTGTTAGCTGTGTCAGACCAGGCAGGGTGCTGGGCTCCATCCATCTCGGAAGCAAGCCGGTTGCTGCTTTCCAGGGTGTGGTTAGTGCCACCGATCACCTCCTTACACTCAGGACAAGTGCCCCTCTGCATTGCTCCCCCACACTCGCCAATCACATAGATGTGGCCATTGGGGCACTTGAACCAGTGGCCTCGAGGGAGACCCATAGCAGAGACAATCTGCACCCGCTCTTCCTCTGAGATGCCCAGGCCGGAGCAAGGGAGGCAGGCTTTCAGAGCTTCCAACTTCTCCTTCACAAGCCGCTCCTCCTCCACAGTGAACTTGGATGTTCGCTCTAGGATATTCCGGAGATTCTGGACCTCTTCTGCCACGTGACCATTCACCCTCCCCTCTGCCATTTTGCAGCTGCTTAGCAGGTTTATCAGGTATGTGAGCCTGTGGATTTCACTTTGGAGGTCACTCAATTCCTGGCTGGTGAAGCTCAGGCGCTTCTTGTCAAGCCAGGCATGGACCTGGTCGAGTCGAGTCCTCACTTTGTCTTGTTCTAATGCATGTATTTTTTTCAGCGATGCCAACAGGCTGGCCAAGTGATCATAGAAGTTGATGTAGTTCTCCACAAGGCCCAGGTCCTTCATTGACACGTTCTCCTGAGCCAGCTTGTCATGAAGCATCAGGGAGGCTTCAGGCAGCAGCTGGCAGAGGAGGCTCTTCGTCTCCAGCAGAGCTTTAAGCTGTTGCTGGTTGGCTGCAATTTCCTTTGCCGAGCCCTGGATCTTCCCCTTGACGACTTCGATCTCTTCCATACGCTGTTTGATGCTGGCTCCATACCTCAGGTTTTTGCGAATGGGCACCTGGCAGACAGGGCAGACCTTCAATCTGATGGCGACTTCATCATCCTTCTGTTCGTTCATGTAGCGGTCCAGGGCCTGCACCTCAAAGATGTGGTTACAGTCTTCGAGTTGTACGAAGCGGGCATCAGGCTCATCCTCAAAGCCGAAGAAGATCTGGGTGACCTCATCCTGGTGGCAGATACGGCACTTCTTGGGGCACGGCTCGCCGCACAGACCAATGCAGGGGTGGCCGCAAGCCAGCAGCTTAGTACAAGGCACATAGCACGGTGGTCGGTCGCAGGGCTCGGAGCAGAGTTTGGTGCACTCGTAGTGCTGGCAGCGCCAGGTACAGGGTTCCACGCAGGGGGTGCACAGCTCCCCACACTTCTTTTTGCATTGGCTGTGGACACAGCGGTTCTGGCATGGCCTCTGGCAGGGTGGGCATTCGCCAATACATGGCTCCTGGCACTTGTGCGAGCAGATGAGCAGGCGCTTGCAAGGCTTCTGGCAGCGTTCATGGAAGCGACCTTCAAAGCAGCTGTAGCAGGAGCCGGGGCAGGGATGCCCACAGTCCAAGATGGTGCCACACTTGGAGGTACACTTGACTGGCAGACCATATTTGAGGTCTTCCACGTTACCACACTTTACCAGCTGGCTGTGCCCACACTTGAGTTTCATAGTGACCATTTCTGAACAAAGCCGAGCACAGTCCTCACCACATGGGTGGCTGCATCTGTGCCCACATCTCAGGAACTTGGGACAAGGCTCTTGACAACAGAATTCTGACTCAGGCATGGAACAAGGGACCATTTGTTTATGGCCACACCGGGAGATGATTTTGGGTACCTTCACTTGACAAGGCTGACACTCCTTGAAGCACACTAGGGGACACTGGTGCCCATCCTGGCAGATGACCTTCTGGCATGGCTTCATGCACTGGAACTCCTTATGTGAGGAGTCATAGGGGTGGCAGGCTCGGGTGCAAACGTGCCCACAGCCCAGCCGGAACTCACAGGGCAGGCTGCAGCCCCCTTCGGGCACTTTCTGGAAGTCTGAAGCTTTGGACACTAAGGTGTGGGTGTCAGGATGGTTCTGGCAACAGAGGCGGAGGGTGCTGCCGATCTGGTTGTTCTCCCGCAGGGTATGGATGATCCTGCTCCACAGCGGCACCTTGGCCAGCATCTGCATGTTTCCGATGCAGTACATTCCCTTCTTGGCTCGTGACAAAGCCACGCAGATGCGGTTGGCTATCTGGAGAAAACCCACCTTGCCCTCCTGGTTGCTCCGCACGAGGGAAAGGAGGATAATGTCATTCTCTTCCCCCTGGTATTTGTCCACGACATGGACCTTGACCCCGGCAAATGTCTTGCTGGGCATGAGTTTGCGCAGGCAGAAGAGCTGCCCAGTGTAGGTCGTGAGGATGGTGATCTGGGAAGGCAGGTACTCCTGGCACAGGAAGTACTTGCACAGCTCCACTACAAAATGAGCCTCATGTTGGTTCTGATGACTTTTACCCTCCTGGATCTCCTGCTCAGGAAAGGTGTGCTCTATGAAGAAGAGGTTGGAGGAGACCCCCTGGAAAGGGAAAGAATGACATTAGGTGGCTCTTGCATAGCACTGGTCTTTCCTCCAGCACTGGCTGATGCTGCTGCCCCAGAGAGACCCTGGAGGGCCTGGTATCTATTCCATCCATGTCACCATCTAATTCTGAAATTAGTTACTATGTACTTTGTTTCAGGGCCACAGCAAATTATGGAGTGGATCAAGAATTCATGTCTACCTGAGGCTAGTCTGATATTAATATCTACAAGAGCCATTAATGACTCAAACATTACAGCTTGGGGAATGGCAGCAGTAATCTGATACAGGTGACAGAGCAGCTCATTTTCAAGGGGACTTCAAAAAGTTCATGGATAATGGAAAGTTATTTTGCTGCAAAAAATTATTCAAATCTATATACATAAAGGATCTTCAAAAAACACACTCAAACTAGACATAATTTTTTTTTTTGGCAGCAGGGATTCCATGGCCGGCCTTGTAGTTATGATGCCTGCTGGCTGGCAGTGGTGACAGCTCCAGGCCCTGAGGTCCTGCCCCTACAGGAGACTTGGACTATGTTCCTGATCCTTAGCTTTGGTCCCAGCCAAATCCTACCACTGTAGCCAGCTGGGGAAGCAATGAGTCAGAGGATGAGAGCTCTGTCTGTCCGAAGCCATCTTTGGAGTATGTTGTGGTGGTGGAGTATGCTAGGCTGCTGTCTGTGACATGGTATATCCTATGTCCATGCACCTACTGGACTCCTGGATGCTCTGCTTCTGACCAGCTTCCTGTTAATGCACCTGGGAGAGAAGAGGCCCAGGCACTTGGGGGACCTGGATGGAGCTGCTGGCTCGGCCTGGCCCAGCCCTGGCTGTTGTAGGCCATTGCGGAGTAAGGCAGTGGACAGATTGACCTCTGTCTCTCCCACTCAAGTAAACAATTAAAAAATATGTATCTTTCAATTCAACTCTTTCCTATGGAGTTTCTGAAGAGTTGTGCTTCCCCCTGTTCTGACTGTATATATCATCTCCATCAATGCAGTCATGGGATGAGGAAGAACCCAATATTCTCCCTTTACAAAGACCTTAAAACTCAGAAATCCCATGGGACCCATAATTTTGAAGTGTCAGGGCTGAGGTTGAAAAGCCCAGGTCTGCATTCCCAGTTTCTATGCTCATCTGCCACCTCCTCAATAACTGTGGTTTCATCCTGAGGAAAGATAGCCCCTTCCTGGTGTTGACCCTAGCAAATACAGACCAGAGGAAAGACTCACCTTAATCTTCTCATATGTGAGAACAGACGGGTGGTTCTCTAGGTCCTGGTAGATGTGGGGGGTCAGGAGGCGGGCAATCTCAGGACGCATGCGGTGCTGAAACAACACATGTCTGTCATTAGGGACACAGCTAAAGGAGAAATGGAAAATTTTTATGCAGAGTAGGTTGCTGGTGGAAGGTCTAGGCAACAACTGGGAGACAGAGCAAATTGGAACAGCTCCTTCATCCAATAAAACTCATCTCATGTCCTTGTGGTGTTTTAAAAACAGAAAATATGTTTGGCAGTCATTTTTTAATACTTAAACCAGTTTTATTCCTACAAGTCTGTGCTTGCTGGGAGCTGGCAGGCTCCCAAGAGTCTTGCCCTGGGTATGGGCCAGTAATGGAGGCCCAGCTCCTTACCTGGTAATTCAGACGGACAAAGGGAATGTTCACTTTGACCAGCCGTTCAAAGAGGGACACCTCGAGATTGAAGTTCTTGGCCAGGTCATACACGTTGGCACTGGGGCGCAGCTAAGAAGACAGGAATGGCTGAGGATTCTCCATTGAAAATGTATTTTAATCATTTATCCATCTGTCTGTCCATCCATCCACCCACAAATATTTGTCCAGTACTTTCCATGTGCTAGGCACTTTTCTAAGTTCTCACAGGGTAATGGTGACAAGGGCTATAAAGACGAGTACTAGGGGTGCTGTGTAACAGAACCCCAAGTGGCAGTCTTTAAACAAGGCCTCCTGACCAGTGACACCTAGGTTGATGATAGCTTGGAAACTGACCGTTGTTCACTTATTTAGAAAGTAGGCCAAATGGGGAGCAGGAAGGATGGGGTGGGACACTGTGAGCAAGATGAGAGGAAGTCGGAGAAATGGGCTGAAGCTTGCTTGTGATGGCTTCCCAGGCTGCTTTCAGAAGCAAGTGCAGTGGGAAAACACGGGTATTTCAGACTAGGAGAGTGATAGGATCTGACAGACCTTTAAAAACATTCACCTTTGGCTCCTTTATGGAGAACAGATTAGAGGATAGCTAAAACAAGCAGGAAGATAGTGGAACATGGTATTGTGGGACACAAGGTGAAGGAACTGATGGTGCTAACTCTAAAATACACCCCAAATCTAACAGCACTTACTCTTAGAATGAATATGGGAAGTGAGAGAAAGGAATCGGAAAAAGCCAGTGATCAGCTTGAGGACTGCTGAAGCCCAACAGCTGGGATCTTTCCGATTCTATCCTTATAGTCTGCCCATCTTGCAGGCATGCTGGCTTCTTACCTGCTGGTGGTCCCCGATCAGAATGAGGTGCTGGCAGGCTTTGCTTAACGTGGCAATAGTATGGGCCTCGAGGACCTCAGCAGCCTCTTCCACGATGACGATGCGGGGCTCCACCTTCTGTAGAATCTGACGGTATTTGGCAGCACCTCAAGTCAGAAAGGGGAGAGGCTCTTCTAAGCGGTGGAGCGAACCTCTGGGCTTCCCCAGCCATGCTTCCTGACTGAGCTGGAGACAATAAGGACCTCTTATTTTCCCAGAGCTGTGGGACTTTCGAATGACACCATTGGTGCTGGCTGGTCTTCACAGCATTATATCCATGGTGGTCAGAACTGCAGTTTCTAACTCAGCAAGAGCATGTGTTTTTCAAGAACAGTTTCCAAAATAGGGGTTGCATTCGCTAGCTTCTCTTGGTATTTTCCCCTAACCTACCGAAGAAGCTTTTCTTTGCACACCCTAGAGAATCAGATAGGAACCTGGCACCTGGCGGGAACTTGGTTGCAGCATCTCACCCTTGCTTACCTGTGGTTGTCATGCCGACAACCTGGGCATCTTTGAGGATGTGCAGGTCTTCCTGGAGTCTCAGCTCAGCCATTCTCTCTGCTGATGAGCGATACTGCCGCTCGTGGCTGAGGATCTTCCGGCGGGTGTCGGCCTGGTACATCTGCAGCCACAGCCTGGGGAATGCAAATGCCGAGAAAAAGAAGCCAGGTGCCTTGAGAAGGTGGAGGAACCCCTTACGTGTACTTAGCACATGAAGTACACCCCGGATCCTCAAGCAGAGAGAGAATCCCACATGTGTAAACTCAAGCCCAGAAGCTCAGAGATGAGCAGTGTGATGAGGAGCTAAGGAAACGGGGCAGGGTAATGCACAAAAACTGCCGGGGAGACAATGAAGGATTTTAGCAAAAATTTCTCCTCACTCCTCCTTTGCCTACAACTCCTTTGCTCCCTTCCACAGAATACTGTAATACAAAGAAAATGGATGATGCCACTAGTCTGTTGTAAAACCTTCTAGCATCTCTGCTGCTCTACAGATAAAAATCACAGTCCTCACCTGAGCAGCAGGCAGTCCCGCCTCCCCCGAGATCCATCCCCAGTCTTTGGGTCACAGCACTGCTGGGGCCTTCCTCCAATTCCTCAAGCGGCTGTGCTCTCCCTCACCTGTATGATCCCTTCCACCTGAGCTACTCCCTGCCCCTGTTGACCTGACAGCTGCCTATCTGCATTTCAGATCTCACTCCCCATCTCCCCTTCCTGAGCGCCTAGACCAGCTGAGATCTTCCCAACATTGTCCTCCCTGCTCTTCTGTCTTGGTTAGTGTTTACGCCCATATGTCGCATTGGAGGGATTCTGTAACTCATTTGTCTCCCTGGACAGACTCTAGGCTTCAGGAAGCACAGCAGGTATCTGTGCCTGAGCACACAGCAGCTCGGTGGTGTGACCATCAACAGCACTGTGGCAGAGCTCCAGGAACAGACAAAGCTCCCTGGAGAAATGACAAGGGCTGGCTCTGGGAAGTGTACAGTTACCTGTAAAGCTGCCAGCGGGAGTTCAGGTCCAGCTGCCAGATGTCCTGGATCTCATTGGCCTCAGCTTCAGTCATGGCATTTAGCTTGCGAAGCTCCTTCTTCATCTTATTCTTCATTCTCTTCTTCTGGGTGCGCTGGGTCTGTGGACACCACGCAACATGCTGTCTGAGGGTAGCAGGCCCAGTCTGAGTTCCCCAGGTGGGGCAACTGATGAGCTTCAAGCCACTGGGTGGCTAAGCAAAGGCTACAGAGCCAGTCAACTGGGCTCAAGCCCTAGGCTCCCTCTTATTAGGATCTGGGGACTTCTTGTGTCATAGCATCCTCTTGTATAAAACAAGAATAGCACCTCTCACAAAGAGCTCTCACAAAAAGTTGATTTTTTTAAAAAATTTTTATTGGAAAGGCAAATTTACAGAGAGAAGGAAAGACAGAAACATCCTCCATCCACTGATTCACTCCTCAAATGGCCAGAATGGCTGGAACTGAGCCAATCTGAAGCCAGGAACCAGGAACTTTTTCTGGGTTTTCCACACAGGTACAGGGTTCCAAGGTTTTAGACCATCTTCTACTGCTTTCCCAGGCCATAAGCAGCGAGCTGGGTGGGAAGTGGAGCAGCAGGGACATGAACTGGTACCCATATGGGATTCTGGTACTTGCAAGGCGAAGATTTAGCCATTAAGCCATTGTACCAGGCCCAAGGGCTGGTGACTTGACAGTAGTACATAGGCATACATGGAAGACACAATGGGGCTGGTACCAGCTATCCTTGAGCCTCATTGATCATACTGTTTACCATTCCCAAAGTGTCTATATTCTAATCAAAGAGGGCAGTATGTCTCTCCGGGGGATGCTGTGTGACTGCTGCCCAGCCATTGGAGCTGAGCACATGGCTTGCGTAGAGCCTGCTCAAATGAGCCTAGTGTCATCACACCCACCAGTACCTTGATCGAATAGGGGACAGGTTCTGGTTAGGAGAAAGTGCTCTCCTCTGACTCTGTCACTGAGTCTGAGGTCATGGGAGAACACACATTAAAGGCTTTCCCTGGTTTCAAAACCAAACATTCTCCTGGCGGCATAAAGCAGAGAGCCTTCCAAGCACTGGGAGCATGCTGCTGCCCACCACACTGGACTGAACTGAAGCAGGGAGCAAATGTCACATCAGTAGTTAAGTGATAACTGGATTCAAAGTTACCTTTGATAATCCCTAAATGAGTTGGTGGAGCTGATAAACTGGTCTTCTGCATATCCAAACATTCTGCATATCAACACATGGGAAATGATGAGGATCACCAGAATTGAGGAGAAGGGCAGAGAAGGGCCGGGGCAGAAGCTTAATGGGTTAAGTCACTGCCCAAGACACCAATATCCCATATGGGAGCCAGATTAAGCCCTGGTTGCTCCTCTTCCAATGTAGTTCACCACTAATGCTCCAGGAAAGCAGACAACGATGGCCCAAGTCCTTGTGTCCCTGCACCAGTGGGGCAGACCTATTGAAGCTCCAGGCTTTGGCCTGGCCCTTCCTCGGCTGCTGCAGCCATTTGGGAACTAAGCCAGCAGATGGAAATCCTCTCTCCCCTACCTTACTATAACTGTGTTTCAAATGAGTAAATCTTAAGGAAAAGGAGCAGAGGGCAAGTCTACAGGAAGACATGTGTGTACTTGGAGCACACATTTCAGGGAGACTGAAGGACCAGGCTCCCTTCCCCACCGAGGGTGCCCATTATTGTCCCACTATGATCCTCTCATGCCTTAATCCAAGGCTCCTGGCCCAGCTGCAGTTGACGGAAGGTACCACCCTCAAACACATGAAGTAATGACAGCACAGATGATTCAATTCTGTGCATTTTTCTAAAAGCTAGAGAGCAGCATTTGGTTACTTATTTCTTATTTTCCACACTGGCATTTTTTGCCAGGCTCCCCTCAAAAGTGGTATGATTTTTATAAGCTTGGGAATTAGACTGATGCTAGAATTAGGGTGTAAAATGGGCACACTTCCTAATTGTGAGGGTGAAGAAGCTGTAAGAGAAGATGCCAGAACACGCTCAAGCCTGTTTCGACAGATTCTAACCCACATCACTTGGCAGTAGTAACTCAAGGCCCATTTCTCATTTTACTGGGATTCTCAGGAACCCAGAGGGAGTGAACTTACCTCCCACTCTCCCATGGCTTGATCCTGCCGGGCACTGTGGTCTAATCCCATGGCCAGGAGCATTCTGGCCAGTTCCTGGTCAGCCCCGTTTTCTTCCTTCTTTCGCCGTCGGGGCCTCATCACCTCTTCCTCCTCAATCACCCGGTCGGCTTGAATCAGGTCAGCCTCCTCTGCAATCTCAATCAGTGAACCCTCCTCTTCTCCTTCCTCCTCCTCCTCTTCCTGGGCTAGAAAAGCAGGAAGAGACATGGGGGCTGCAGAAACCAAGGTCAGGATAGGGCACCTACCAGAGCCCAAAAGCTGGTGACATTCTCAATGGGCTTTAGTGGGTCCCTCTAGGAAGGGAATTTGGGAGGAATGAGAGGGAGGGGGACAAGCTTCCTTATTTACTTGTTTGTCCCATGTTGCACTTATTTCCTCATAGTAATTTTAGATAAAAATTACAAAGGAGATTATACAATAATATAAATAAGCAATTTAACAGAAAGACATAAAATGAACATTCACCCAATTCATTTATTCATTCAGGCTTTTATTTATTTGAAAGGTAGTTGCAGAGATAGAGAAGGAATGACGGCGAGATCCTCCACCAGCCTGTTTACGCCCCAGATGGCCACAACGGCTGGGGCTGGACCAGGCTGACTCTCCTCGGGGTCCCCCTTTGGGGTGCAGAAACCCACAGCTATGGGCCATCATTTGTGGGGAGCCAAGTAGAAGCGGAGCAGCCAGAACTTGAACAGGTGCTCACATGGGACAAGGCACTGCAGACAGGGGCTTCATCCACCATGCTCCGATGCTGGTCCCATTTCACCCAATTTAAGGAGAAAATTATCATACTTTCTGAAGTCTCTTGTGGGTCTTTTTAACCTGAGTTTTGCATTACTCATTTTCTCGTTTAAAAAGAACTTGGGGAGCCCAGCGTGATAGCCTAGTGGCTAAAGTCCTCAACTTGAACACACCAGGATCCCAGATGGGTGCCAGTTCTAATCCTGGCAGCCCCACTTCCCATCCAGCTCCCTGCTTGTGGCCTGGGAAAGCAGTCGAGGATGGCCTTGGGACAGTGCAGCTGTGTGGGAAACCTGGAGGAAGTTCCTGGCTCCCGGCTTTGGACCAGCACAGCACTGACTGTTGCAGTCACTTGGGGAGTGAATCATCAGATGGAAGATCTTTCTCTCTGTCTCTCTTCCTTTCTGTATATCTGCCTTTCCAATAAAGATAAATAAATCTTAAAAAAAAAAAAAAAAACCTAAAAGAACTTGGGGTCAGCACTTAAGCATAGTGGGTAAAGCCCACGGTCTGTGACACCGGCATCCCGCAGAGGCGCTGGTTCGAGTCCCAGCTCTCCACTTCCCATCCAGCTCCCTGCTAATGGCCTAGGAAAAAAAGTGGAAGTTGGCCTAAGTGTTTTGGACCCTACTACCCATGCGGGAGACCCGAATGGAAGCTCCTGGCTTCTGATTTTGTTAGCCTAGTTCAGCTCTGGCTGTTGTGGACATGTGGGGACTGAATCAGTGAATTGAAGATCTCTCTTTCACTCTAACTTGCAAATAAATAAATGGGGCCCGATTGCATGGCCTAGCAGCTGTAGTCCTCGCCTTGAACGCACTAGGATCCCATATGGGCGCCGGTTCTAATCCCGGCAGCTCCACTTCCCTTCCAGCTCCCTGCCTTTGGCCTGGGAAAGCAGTCGAGGATGGCCCAAAGCTTTGGGACCCTGCACCCGTGTGGGAGACCCAGAAGAGTTCCTGGATCCTGGCTTCAGATCGGCATAGCATTGCGCTCACTTGGGGAGTGAATGATTGGATGGAAGATCTTCCTCTCTGTCTCTCCTCTCTGTACATCTGACTTTCCAATAAATAAATAAATCTTCAAAAAAAAAAAAGCAAATAAATAAATGTATCTTTAAAAATACAAAATTTAAAACTTGATCATACACAGTTTACATATCTCTTCCTATGTGACACATCACTTGCGTGTCTGTGTGTTTTTCTGTAACCTGTCTTTTCCGTTCAGCCTGTGTTGAGGTCCAAACATGTTATGATTCATTCCTTTTCAGCTATACAGTATTTCATTATCTACGAAGATAACCGACTGATCCACTACACAAACACTGATGAAAATTTGAGTTCTGTTGGTCTGTCCTTACAAAGTGGCTGTCCAGTTTACATCACCGCGAGGGCTGTAACAGAGTTCCCATACGACACATGTTCATCAGTGAAGGGTTGTAGAAACTGCTTAACTTCTGTCAGCACAGTGGGAGTATAATAATGTCTCTGTGTGGTTTTACTTCCTCTTTTAATGAGCATGTTTTCTATGTCTACTAACCAACAGCATTTCCGATTTTGTGAAGTGTACGTTAAAAGTCTTTCATCTAGGGCCCAGTGTGGTAGCCTAGCGGCTAAAGTCCTCATCTTGCACGTACCAGGATCCCACATAGGTGCCGGTTCTAATCCTGGCAGCTTGCTTTCCATTCAGCTCTCTGCTTGTGGCCTGGGAAAGCAGCTGAGGATGGCCAAAGCCTGGGGACTCTGTACCTGCGTGGGAGACCCCGAAGAGGCTTCTGGCTCCTGGCTTCGGATGGCTCAGCTCCAGCCATTGTGGCCACTTGAAGAGTGAATCAATAGATGGAAAATCTTCCTCTCTGTCTCTCCTCTTTGTATATATCTGACTTCCCAATAAAAATAAATAAATATATGAATCTTCTAAAAAAAAGTCTTTCCTCTGTCATCTTAGTAAACTATCTGCCTTGCTCTGATGGATTGAAAGCTGTGTATAAATTCTGGACGTTATTTGAAAATCCTATTGCTGTGGTCTTGGCCATGGGCTTCCTGAGGGTGTGACCATCTCTTACCTGTATTCTCAGGTCCAGGTGGAGCAGTACTCTGCGTGAAGGAACCGACACCTAGACCTAGCCACTCCAGCATCATGGAATGCCTACTGGGCTGGTAGTAGGTCCATTCGTTATCCTGAGGAAGCCAGAATTACCAGTGATGAGGATTGACTAACAACAGGTGCTAAGGCAAGGTCTTCTCAAACACTTCAGTCATCCCCTTCTAACCCAGAGGCTCTGGAGCTGGTGTTTAGCCTAACGGTTACAATATTGCTGAAGACAACCTGCATCCCACATCAGAGCGCCTGGGCTTGAGTCCTGCCAGACTCTGGGCTAGGGCAGCAGAACCCTGAGGGGGCTGAGGCAGCTGCGTCCTCTCCGGGCTACGCCAGTCCTTGCTCCTTCGTCATGTCTCAGTGTTGGACGGCTTCCCTCACTCACGCACCTACTGACCCCTTGGAGGAGTCTATCTTGCCTCGTCCCTGGGCTCCTGTCACTCACAGTCTCCGTTACTTCTCACAGCAGCGTTTGCAGCAGCCCGATTATCCCTGTGTGGTCGCTGCGGATCACGAACTCCACACCGTCAGGCTACAAGCCCCAGGGCTGACAACTGCCACACACTACATGCGCAAGACCACCTCAGTTATGATCTTATTTATTTCATTAAAAAAAAAACCACGTTTAGCATACTTATTAAAGATAAAGGATTATAAATATCAGTTTGTTTATTCAAATGATAATCCTTTAAGTTGTTCTGGGGCCAGCATGGTACCTCAGTAGACTAAGCTTCCACCTGATCCTTCATCCTTTCAACCCTGGTCAGCCCTATAATTAGCATCAAATAAATAAAAATTAAAAACTTCTACCTATAGTAAGCAGCCCTTATGGGCACCACCAGATCGTGTCCTGGCTGCTCCACTTCCACTCCAGTACCCCATTTATCGCCTGGGAAAGTATGGATGATGATCAAAAGCCTCAGGCCCCTATGGGAGACCCAGAAGAAGCTCTTGGCTCCTGGCTTCAGAGCAGCTCAGCTCCAGCAGTTGTGGCCATTTGGGGAATGAACCAGCAGTTGAAGAATCTCTCCTGTCTGTAAATCTGCCTTTAAATTAAAATAAATCTTTAAAAAAAATTAATTTGATCTGTAAGAAGTCAGCAATTTTGCAGGTAAAAATGTACAAAAAATGTACAAATATTGACAGCTTCATATGGCTTGCCTTAATGCTATCATTACTCTCACTTTCTAAGAAATAGGCACAGACAGATTAAGGAATTTGCCACGGGCAAAGCCGGGATTCAAACCCAGCAAGCTGGCTGCGCAGCCTCATTCCTGCCAAGCATTCTCAGCTGCCTCTCGCCCAGAAAGGCAGCACCCTACACAGTGGCTGCGCTCTGCTGCCTCCGCGGGAGGCTCCCCCAGGGGCTCTGGGCCCAGGCCTACCTGTCTCGGTCCATTCACGAGGCTTTCCCAGTGGTGGGGAGAGATGTACTTCTCCAGGTGCTGCTCCCGCAACACCCCGCGCATGGTGCACTCCAAGGTCTTCGCTCCCTTGTGCAGTTCCTGCTCCGACTCCTTCATCTGCGTCACGATCTGCCAAGAGCACAGGGGAGGAAATGAGGGGGAGTGGCAGTCTCCAAGTCAGTGCTTGCCTCTAGGGAAAACAAAGCCAAGACAGGAAGAGCAAGAAGGGAGAAGGAAGCCAACTTCCCCAGGCACTACGGGGGTCTGAAAACAAAGAATGGGTAACCAAAATGTCTCAGAGATTCTTACCAACCAATAAGGAAAGGAAATAAATAGTAAGAGAGCAGCAGGCCAAGGCTTCTGGGGCAGAGCCATCCAAGCCGCCTGGCAGCAGTTCTCCTCTCTACTAGTAAGAACTCAGGATTTCTGGCTCAACACCTTACTGCCCAGCAGAACGACAGGCAATGGGCTAGGAACAGAAGTGATGTGGGTGGCAGGGCAGAAGTGGCCTTGGCGTCCTGACAGGAATTAGGGGGGGACAGTGCACCCTTCATACAGCTTCCATCCTCAATCACGAGGGCAATGGTCACACTGCACAAAGGGAACACAGGTCTGCCAGAGCTCCGAGAAGCTTCCGCTCTGGCCCTGGGCGTCCAGGCAGAGCCACCGCTGCCGGGTCCACACTCACACTCATGTAGGCCCTGCGCAGGTGCATGGGCAGGTTGCGGCGGAACTCGCGCTTGTTCCTCAACTCCCGCAGGGTGAACTGCTTCAGGACCTCGCTGTTGCTCCTTCCACCCACTCGCACGATGCTCGTTTCCTGACATCTGTAGATGCCTGTGGAGTAGAGCAGAGTGGTTTTTTTTTGGGGGGGGGGGCGGGTACACAAATGTTTACTTCTCAAGTAAACATCCCCTTTGAACTTAGGAATGAAGTCTAAATCTTCATAAAGATACATTAAAAATGAAATCCCTCTAGTGCAGGTGAAGAAGAGCTGTGCAGGTTGAGAGGAGCAGTCTGCCTTCTCAGGGGAGAGCTATGGGTGTTGGGATCTTACCTCAGTTGGACCCTTGGGAAACCAACTTGCCCTCACAGCAAGTTCAACCCATTAATGAGCAAGCTCACAGGGAAAATACCCCCATTGCTGTATAACCTGCTGCAAGTTACTTGAGTTTTAATTTCCTTGCAATCTGGAGACAGTAGTACCTTCATCATGGGCTACTGGTGTAGAAATGAGAGTATGTAGTTCCTGGCTGGGGGCTGGCATGAAGCAAGCTCTTGGTGAACGTTTCCTGCCCTTCCCTATAGTGTCCTGACGGCTTTTAAGTCCCAGGCGTGTGCCTGGTCCTGAAGATACCGTAATCAGAACAGACTCAGTTCCCAAGTTGTTCTCTCATCTTATGCTCGAGCAGAGAAGATACTTCTAGTACTGGAAAGTGTGAGTACTCGGTACCCAATGTCATAAGTGAATAGCAGGTACCTTACTTTATCTGGGTAAGGATCTATTCCTGAAGACCCAATATTTAAACCTAGACTCTAACAACAAAGATTCACCTAGGTGAAGGGAATGGGAAGTACGGAAAATAATATTCTTAGCAAAATGAAAGATATTCATATTTGTTAATGCTACTACTGCTTTTTTGAGTGTCTGAGAGGTGCAAGAATCTGTGACTACAGTAAAGAAACACAGCCAAACTTCACAGCGCTTACAGTCTAGGGTCAGGCCAAAAGGCGACTTGACTTGGTGATGTCTGGGGGTAACGGGGAAAGTTTACCTGAAGAAGCAAGACCTAAGATCAGACCTGAAGAATGTGTCAAAGCCAGCCAGATGGGCTGGAAACAAGATGAAGAGTTGACGGGAAGAAGCACATCTCAGGTAAGGGGACCCGGATGGGACAAAGAAGCTGGAGAAACCCGAGGAGAGTGGCAGGAGCCGAGCTTCAGAGCCAGGCTGTGGCACGTCACCTGGGGCCTCATGGGTTCTCGGACTGTGGATTTTGCTCAAAGAGCAATGGAACACGCTGTTGAAGGTGCTGACAGCTCAACCATAAATGTCTTGGTACAGAACATTACCTTCCAGAAACTGGTCCAAAGCATGATTAGTATAACAAACAACCAAGATGGGGAACTTCTGGTGGTTGATCTGCCAAACATTCTCATTGGTTAGAAGGGCCTGGATAATTTTTAGACCCACATAGGTTTTTCCTAGAAAACAAGGAAAAAGGAGTTTAAAATTTTAGACAGTTCCTAAATGCAGTAATCACTGAAAGCAAAACTTTTTTTTCCTTTCTTTTTAACTGAACTCCCCCTGCAGTGTTGGCATCCCAAAAGGAAGGTTCCACACCTGGCTGCTCTGCCTCAGAATCATCCTCCTGCTCATATTTCTGCAAAAGCAGCGATGGTCCCAGTGCTTGGGCCCTGCATCCACGTGAGAGACCTGGAAAAAACTCCTGGTTTTGGCCTGGCCTAGATCTAGTCATTGCAGCCATTTGGGGAGTAAATAGCAGATATGAGACATGCCTCCAATTCTGTGATTCAGAAAAACAAAAACCACTCCAGCTGCCCTGGTCCTCTTCAGCAGCCTGCTTCCATCTCCATGTGCCTTCCCCAGAGACTGTCTTCCTCAGCCTTTACAAGTATGAATGCCCATTTCGAGTCCCCCCTGTTCCTCTGAGAATACAGATAGTGCTTGCACACAAACAGCCGTTCCAATTGTTCTACATTTTGCTTTTTCAGAGGTAGATGCTGTGGCCATCTGGGAACGAATGAACAGACACATGATCAATCATCCCTGTGTCTCTTCTATGTAACTCTTTCAAAATAAATACATAAATCTTTAAACAAATCAATAAGACAGCCAATTCAAGTGGAAGATGAGCAAAGACTCGGAAGAGGCAATAAACAGGAGCAGAAGCATGAGATGTTAATAAAGAAAAGGTACTCCATCTCATTTTGAAGTGAAGAACTATGAAGCACTGTGATATACAATGCCGAGAACAATCTTCTCCAACTACCAGTGTGCAGGTTCTTCATCTAGTTGGGATATAATTTGATCGCATGTGAAATGACTGACTGACAAACAAGACTAATCACTGAACCACCGTTTCCAACAATTAATCTTTCCGTGAGGAAGTAGACAGGTTATGATCTCTTCACATATTGGAAATATTATGCAATCACAAATAAAATACTTTTCATATATTCACATGAAAGAATCTCGAAGATAATATTAATTTTTTTCTTTTTTTTTATTTTAATAATCTTAGTTGATTAGGGTACAAAGGGTCAAGGGCTACAGGGTCAAAGTGGGTAATACCATTGTTTCCATGCTAATATTATCATTTTTCCCTGTATCTGGGGTTAGGGGAGTAACAAAGGGAAAAGCTCACTTTCCAGCTGCCAACAGCAGTAGGGGACTGGCCAGGCCACAGTCAGAGACAGGAATTCTATTTTTTTTTTAAGATTTATTTATTTTTATTGGAAAGGCAGATATATACAGAGAGGAAGAGAGACAGAGGGAAAGATCTTCCCTCCGATGATTCACTCCCCAAGTGACCGCAATGGCTGGTGTTGCGCAGATCCAAAGCCAGGAGCCCAAATCCTCCTCTGGGTCTCCCACATGGGTGCAGGATCCCAAAGTTTGGGCTGTCCTTGACTGCTTTCCCAGGCCACAAGCAGGGAGCTGGATGGAAAGTGGCCCGGGATTAGAACTGGTGCCCACATGGGATTCAGGAATGTGCCGCTAGGCCACGGTGCCGGGCCGGAGACAGGAATTCTAAATGGGTTTGTCACAGCAGTGGTGGAACCCTCGTCCTTGAACCAGCATCCACTGCCTCCAGGCTCGTTATTAGGAAGCTAGATTGGAAGAGGCAGGACTTGACCCAGCATTGCAAGCTAGCAGCCTAACTGGTCTACCCCACCAAGATAAACAGCAAAACAAGTCCACAACAGTGTTTATAGTATAGTAGATTTAAAGGAAATTGAGGAAAATAAACACAGGTATTCCCAGCATACAGGGGGTCTTCAGTAGGTCCACGGAAATGGCCCTTATGAAAAAGACCACGTGGATTTCAAAAGTTTGTTTTTAAAAGTTTAAAAAATACATATGTTTTTCATCTGAAAGGCAGAGAAAAAGAGTCAGATCTTATATCTATGGCTCACTCCTCGAATGCCCACAATACAGCTAGGGCTGGACCTGGATAAAGCCAGGAACCCACAACTTCATCCAGGCTTTCCACACAGATGGTAGGGACTCAAGTGCTTGAACATCAGCCGCCTTGCAGAGCGAGCATTAGCAGCGAGCTACAAACAGAAGTGGTGCTGAGACCCCAATTAAGACATTTGCGACGCGGGTCGCAGGTTTTCTCAAGTGGCAGGTGTCAACATAACTGCTGCACCACATGTCTGCTACTCCAAGTATTTTGCATCAAAATACACTGGTCTTCCAATTCCACTTTCCTTGAGCTTCCTGAGTACCCCACATCTCTGGAAGGACACAGGACAACAATGACACTGCTTTAGGGAAGGGAATTAACTGGGATAATGTGAGGAAGAAGAGAGAATTTGGAAAAAATATTTGCTAAAACCTAGTATTAAAATTAGTACTAGGCCCCCAACTGTAACCTCTCAAATGAGCAAAAACTAAGATGCATTAAGGCATAGAGTGCTGAAAGGCTGTAAGGCCACGGGAACAGACATGTCCTCCTGGCAGGGGTACCAACCGACACATACAAAGCCACAGACATAGAGGCATATGGACACTTACTCTAGCACTCTGTGTAACACAGTGTTACATTAACACTTGAGTAAAGTGTTCATGTAAAGTAAAAACAATGTCCAGTTCTAACTATGACTGTAATGGAAAGACTATGAACATGTCTTTACATTGGTACATGTATAAACATGTGTAACATGTTGGATTCAAAGACCTTTACACCAAAGCAACAGCATGATCCCATCTTTGTTATTAAGTAACAGCATGTGTGCAAAGGTGCACACGTACATGTGCAAACAGATACATCCGTGTTACCCATGAAGGGCCGCTCCAAAGGAACACAGCCCAGTGCTAACAGTGGCTGTCATCCTGGCAAAGGGGAAGTGAAGCCACTGTCTGTGATGCTGTGCTGGTATCCTACAAGCACCCGGTTGTGTCCCAGATGGTCCACTTCTGATCCAGTTCCCTGCTGATGTGTCTGGGAAAGCAGCGGAAGCTCACCCAAACGCTTGGCCCCTGCCACCCATATGGGAGATGCAGATAAGTTCCCAGATCCTGTCTTCCATCAGTCTAGCTCCTGCCACTACAGCAATTTGGGGAGTAAAGCAGTGGATAAAAGATCGGACTCTTCCTCCCTGTGTAACTCTTTAAAATAAGCAAGTCTTAAAAAATAAAAATCAGGCTTGAAATCTGGTCTGAGAACACCTCAGACAAAGTCTCTTTGGAGATCTCCCCAAACAAAACACTAGACTCAGAACCCTAGCAAGACAAGACAGAAGACAGGTCAATCAACCATCTCAGCCATATGTTGGCAGTGAAATACAGGGCAAACGGAGACTCTATGATGGACTATGTCAATCAGTGGATTCTTCAAAGACCTCACTGTGCTTGGAGTGGCAAGATTGGCAGTGATTCATAACTGGGGAACTATCAAAACCACTTGAGCAAGTATCTCAGAGCATGCCCTACATGCGGGACCTGGGGAGGGTGAGAAATTGGGTGGGCCTTCTTGCTGGGGTCCGCGCAGTGGGTGTGGATGACACGAGGGTGTGATGAGAACAGCTCCCCTGTGCGGCAAGGCCCGGGGGAGTTTCCAGCTGTGTGGCAAGGCCCGGCGGAAGTCTCTCCGACCACCTTGATACTGTTTTACCCCCTGGCTGCATGGACACTCAAGCACCCCACTAAGAATTTTGCAATCTATTGAGGCAGTGTTTGCCCCTGTGGGATGGCTTTTATCACCAACGTGAGCTTGAGAGTTAGTGTCACTGATAATATCTTGGTGAGTGGGCCTTTGACAATTTACACACAGGAGCACAATTAAACCCATGCCATTTCTGGACACCTTATTGTGTACCTACCCATTGCCCTGAAATCGGGCCCAGACATATAGCACACCTTCTGGGAAGGGGCTTGAAAATATCCTAAATATTAATACAAGTGATGGGAGTGAGAGCTGAAACTGCTATGGCAATAAATATAGTTATTGTTATCTCAAAGGCTAGCCTGTCTTTGCAATTTTTTTGGAATATAGAAAATGTAACTGTTTTAGCCGCTTTTATAATTTTTAGCTAGAGGATTAAGGATGCTTTTATTAAAGAAAAATGCTTTTGATTATTGTCTTATTGTTTATGGGGTTGTAGGGGTCTATAGTTGTAGGGAGATTTAACATTTGAAGTTTCTATTTTAGATTTTAGGTTTTTTCCCTTATAACCTATTTTCCCATTAAATGATGGGTAAATTGTAGAAGTAAAAATGTGGTGGGAAAGTACTACTGATTAGCAGATAATCGCATGTGCCTTGGCCTTGGAGTCCTGGCTGTTGCTCCATGGCTACTGTTGAAGGATAAACAATAGCTTGCTTTGAAGAATATGAATACAGTATTTTGCAAAATTATCTTTAGGAGCACCTGCTTAGCCTTGAAGTACAGACAGAGTGACCAAATGTCTGTACATGCCCCCTTAATTTTGAAAAGAAAAAAAAATAGAATAGTTGCTTGTGTAGAAGCTTGAGAAGGGTTTTGAGTAAATAAAAAGGACAGTTTTTTCCTGAACGGTTGGAAGAATGCACCAAATGCCTGTGTCTGTGTCTTTCTTTATCGCCGACTCCACGCACCCTTCCCGAGCTCCGAACTCGGCTGGAGCTGGACTCCGGCAAGTGGCGCCCAACGTGAGGGCTCGACGAAGGTAAGTCTTTTATCTTTTTTTTGCGGCGTGGATAGGACTTCACCCAGGGTGCTGCAGGCCCCCTGACAGAAGGTCAGGTTAGGAGGGGTGAATAGTCAGAACATTTCTTGAGAAGTTTTGTACCCTCTGTTGCTATAGAGTAAAAATGGGACAGAGTGCATCAAGTGACAGAAGCTTGTACGCTGATATTATTAAGCATACTTTACAAAAGAGAGGCATTAAAGTTAGTAAAAAAGAGCTTTCAGGATTTTTGCAGTTCATACGGACAATTAGTCCTTGGTTCCCAGAGGAAGGAACTTTAGATTTAC